GGTTTGGCACAGAGCAGAGGAGGGTGAGGGGAAGCCCCATGCCGTCCCACTGCCCCTCACAGGGAGTGGAGGAGTGGAGGGGCAGTTCTGAGCTCTGCTCTCTGCTGGCAGCGACAACAGGGCCCGAGGGGACTGCATGGGGCTGCTTGGAGGAGTGAGGAGGGGGAGAGGTGGGGGGTTAGGGGCAGGCTGTGCCCCAGAGGGCAGCAGGCACAGCACAGCCCCACACTGGAACCATAAGGTTTGGGGTTGAGCAGTGTTGTGTGCAGCCAGGGGTTGAGCTCAGGGATCCGTGTGGACCTAACTTCCAACTCTGCGTGTTCTGTGACTCAGATGATGAGCACGGGCTTTATCCCTCCAACCAGTGACACCAGGACCCCCGGCAGCCTCAGGAGCTGCCCCACGGGACATGGGCTGCCCCCCAGCCTGGCTCTGGGAGCTGCACTCCCTGTCACACACACAACTCCGTCCCCTCACAGCTGCACGCATTCCTTGCGGCACTCAGAGCACAGTGTGACTCCATCCAGAGAGTAGGGGACAGATTTAAGGAGAACAGGAGAGGTGTGGACATTCCCCTTCCCCCTCCTTCCTGCTCCCCTTCCCTTGCACACCTTCAGACAAGAGCTGACTGCTGCCCTGCTCCCAGTCAGCCATTCCCCCTGTCCCCCCCCCACTGCATGCCATGCCATGGCCAGACAGCAGGGCCACACAGAACCATAGAATGGCTGGGTTAGAAGGGACCAGTCCCAAGCTCTGCTGTGGGCTTGCTGCCCCCCACCAGCTCAGGCTGCCCAGGGCCCCAGCCATGGCCTTGGGCACCCCCAGAGATGGAGCACCCACAGCTCTGGGCAGCAGCACCAGGGGACACTGCCCTCTGACTAAAGAATTTCATCCTAACCTCTAACCCAGACCTCCCCTCTTTCAGTTGCAGCCACTCCTCCCTGTGCTGTCACTATCTGCCAGCCTCCTTTGCCAGGCTCTTCTGATCAATCTATCTAAAGCAACCCTTCTTGTTATTATCCACATCCCTCGCAGAGTTCAGCTCCATTTCAGCCTTGGCTTTCCTGGTCCCATCTCTACATGTCCAGATAGCACCCCCATATTCTTCTCAGGCCATCCATCCCTGTTTCCACTGATGATATGTTTCTTCCTTCCCCCCATTTGATCAGCAGGTCAAACCAGCCATGCTGGTTTCCTCTCTCCTCTGCTTCGTTTCTTATATGTGGGAACAGAAAGGCATCCTGTAAGAGCTGCCAGCTCTATTCTACTCCTCCATCCCTATGACAGCTTCCCAGTGGGACAACTGTTGAAAATGCCTTGGAAGAGGATCTTTCTGTTCCCAAGGTGATGACCTTTGCTTCTGTAGCCTCAGACTGGTTCTCAAACAGCAAACTGCTTCTCAGCCCCTTTGCTTGAGCTGCCCAGAGGCGCCCAGGCTGTCGTTGCCAGGCCTGGTATCCTGAGCTGCTGCACACACACAGAATGCAGGCAGAGCTGCTCCATGAAGCCTATGGCCGCTGCAGCTTCCCTGGGGAGCGGGGGCCAAGACCATTGAGTGGGATGAGGGCTCTCTTTCCATTTCCACCTGTGAAGGATGTGGCAGCAGCTGTGAGGAACCATTCTCCACAAAGCTGCTTCTGCTTTTCCCTCAGGTGAGACAGAAGAGCATGAGCAAGCCACGAACCAAAGCTGTTCTGCTGTGTCTCGTCCTCTCATTGGCCAGCAGCAGTTCCGGCCCGTCCCCGGCCTCTCATCCCAAGCCCGTCACCCGCCTGTCTGTCATGGTTCTATGTTTTTGTTTTGTTTTCTTTATGGTTTCAGTAT